TATTAACAAGAGTGAGGGTGGAGTTGTCCTGTATCCAACCCATCCTACCCCCTCACAATTAACTTCCCATTCTTAATTTTTCATTTTTTATAGTTTATTTTCTATATTTCTAAGTCACATAAGAGCATTGAAATATTTCTACAACTTTCATGGTTTCTTATGTAACAATGGCACATGCACAGCTTTCTCATAGCTAACAAGCACATGTATGTTATCTTATTATTACTATACAGTACAGTAAAATCCTCTTAAACCAAACTTTTTCCGGATTTCTGCTTTATCCAGACTGGCAAACCACTCTGGATTAATTTCTGTTAATTTGGATTGAGTCCAGATTAACATGAAATAATCCAGTTCTACCCACTTGGTGGCAAAAATAAATAAACACCTTTAAATAACTAACTTCATCTTTGTTTTTAATCAGATCATAGATGGCTGTTTTTTTCAGGCCGTATTTCTCCATCAAAAATCTTGCAGACCTTTCTCATGATCTTCCATAACTGCTAGCTTGTCTATTAAGTTAAACTCCTTTCTGGCCCTCTTCTGACTTCCTTTTGAAGTAGTCTTACCTTTATAAGCCATAATAATTAAACCATAAAGTCACAAATAGTCTGCAGGAGTTAAAGAGATGCACACAAGAGGGCTGTAGCAGCGTGATTGATCGATTGATTGATTGATTGTGGAAATTAAATCCCTGGCAAAGCAACAGCTTAGGTCATATGTCACCAAATAAAAATAAAAGCTTTGAAGACTAAAATCAAATAATGCAAGGTAAAAAACATATGTTATAAATAACATAAAACTTTCATAAAAAACATTTAAACATTTATAGATAAAACTCAAAGCTTGTGTAAAGGGACAGCTTCCTCCACAAAGGAGAGGACGTCCTCTCAAAGCACCAGAGAGAGAGACGGTAAGTACCATCTCTCCCCCGGCACCAGGAGAGTTGCTTACGACAAAGATCTCTGAGTCTGGGGCACTCCACCAGAAGGTGTCAAAGAGTCAATGGGACGGATTGTAAACAAAGCGACTGGAGCTGGCTTTCATGTGCACCAGATGGCAATCTGGCCTTTTCTCGGTTAATCCAGACTTTTTCCGGATTAAATAAACGACCTCTGGAAATTCATCTAACCGGAAATTTGCTTAATATTGACTGGATCCCCCATTAGTCCGAATTGAGAGGGGTTTTCTTCTTTATTCGTAAGTCACACTAGCACACTGAAATTACTTTTCCATAAATTCTGTGGTGATTTAACACATAACAATGATAAGCACTCAGTCTTCAGAGAGGTGACTGACATATTTTGGCATAGTAGAAACTTAACACTTATAGGGCACTTTTATGACCGATTATATTGTTTGTTTGTTTTTTTACATTATATTAGATGCATCATATTTGGCTACTCACAGACTTATTATAAAACAGTGGATAATGCAGGCAATGTATATGTGAAATAACTGACAGATAATGAAAATTATCTTCCTATATTTGTTAGCGATAGATATATATAAATATATATATATATATATATATATATATATATATATATATATATATATATATATATATATATATATATATATATATATATATATATATATATATATATGTATATATATATATATATATATATATATATATATATATATATATATATATATATATATATATATATATATATATATATATATATTTTTTTTTTTTTTTTTTTTTTTTTAGGCAGGGAAAAAACACTTTTATTTGAGTTGCAGGCTGCACTTTTCAGGCATCGTTTGTATGGCTGTAACAAACACCTGTGCAAAATTTCATGCCATTTCATGCATACTTACCCTGCCGCATCGCGAACGACTTTTTGTCAACTTTTAGTGTATACCAAAAATTAGGTGTCATTTAATGTTTTCCAGGATAATGATAAATTTTACATGGGTGACATTGATTTAATTCACATGTTATTTTACAGGTACACCGTATAGAAAATCATTACAAGTTCATTTTGAAATTCTTTTTTGTGCGGAACCTTGGCATCATTTTCCTAGACAATAATCTTTGCCTAATATATCCATCTCTCGATTCGTATCCCGTCACTTTAGTGCAAGCTTCAGTCATCACTTTTATGCCTCTCTCGATCGCCTGAGTGCTGTTTGGCCACTTGGGCACCACTAATGGTGTCTCAAGAATGTCATTAACCTGTAGATTTGACAGAGAAGCAATGTAAGGAGGCTCAGTCTTGAGTTCATTCCTCCAGTTAATCATGGAATGATAGTTTTTTGCTTGCCACTTTAGTTTCGGAGTCACCACCTTTCTCATGTTGACTACAGGAGGCACATCCTCATTCCCATCTCCATCTTTACCCTCCTCATCAGTATAGTTTAACAAATTCTCGTCAACAGCAGCATCAGAATCTTCCTCCTCCTCTTCAGATCTGCCAGTGCATTCTTCCTTTTGCTGATTCTCCTCTCTAATTTTTCTTATCATTGAGACAGCTTTTTCTCTAACAGTCATGTCCTCATCTGCACACATACCAAGAAGAAGTTGATCTGTGTGGGCAAAGTATGCATTTCTCTGGACAGCCTTCTTCACTATCGTCTCCTCCTCACTATTCAGGTGTTTCATATATAGCAGGGACTGGAATACGTTCCTTGAGCCGTGTGTTACGTAAGGGTGTATCTTGATGTAAAACCACATTGGAGCACTGAACTTTATTATTGTAATGACAATTCTTTTCAACTCATGGCTGGGTCTTGATGTTGCTACATACAGCCTGAGGATTCTACTCCATAAGGTGTTCCACCTTGACACACAGGGAGGACCTGGCTCAATAGCAGCCAAGTCATCTTCAACAACACCTGTGATAACTCCTTTACAAATCCTATACAGGTATTTCTGATCCCAGGACAGATCTTTCTTCACTTCATCATTAAACACAGGGAAATCAGGGAAACTGACTGGCTGGAAGGCGACAACTGGAAGCTCAGACAAAGACTCCTTGATCTGCTTTCCAATGGGACCACGCCAATGCTCAGGACCACTTGGTTTACCATCATAGTGATAAAAAACTGCGCGGAAAGGCAGCTCATTTCCGTGAAGCTGACATATGAAATAATGGAGCGGGTGACCAAGTAACATTTCAAGATGATGAATGACTCCATTTTCTGATCCTACATTTACATTGGTTCCATCACAACCAACACACACAATGGGCTGCTGGGTTAGATTTTTCTCCACCAGAAACTCGTGAATAGTTTTGGCAATCTGCTTTCCGTGTCCAGTCTTGGGAGTCACATGTGTGAGATATTCATTGCCAGGCTCAACCATGATGACATAATGATCTTTCACCATCATCCTCGAACTCCATTTCTCGGTCTTCTCATTCTTTATCATCACACGAGTGGCGGTCTTCTTACCATCAAAATAGAGTGACGTCAAATTATCTAAACTAGCCATCTCAATTTCTTGCCTCTTAAATCGGTATTTTTGTCTCGCATCCCGCAGCTTATGTGGTCCAGCATCAAAATCAATTTTCCCCCACTCTAATCAAGATGTGCGGCATCTCAGAATGACTGCTTATGGGTGACTGAGGAAGCACGTGGTGATCCTGCGGTGTGAACTGCTTAACGGTAACTATTTGAATAATTTCAAGTGCGCCAACTTACCCAGGTCTCCCCTACATTACAGTACAGTAACACAACATTGAGAAATGAAATGAGAAAAGGCTGATAATCAATATAGACATAGCACCATACTCATCTGCAACAAGACAACTTAAATGAAATAAGAGATATGAAAAAAAAGTTGATAAACACTGAACAGAACATTGCACCGCCACAGCGGCTGTTTGGCTAGTACTGTAGGTAAATTAAAAAATTTCAGTAGAAAATGCGGCAGACTAAACCTCGACATATCAGCTTCAAATTTGGCATGGAGTCTTAGATATGTATAAGGAACAATGCCTGAAGAGTGCAGCTTTGAGCAAAATTTCACTGCCCCCTAATATAAATAAATAAATATATATATATATATATATATATATATATATATATATATATATATATATATATATATATATATATATATATATATATATATATATATATATATATAAAATGTGTGTGTGTGTGTGAAATGATGCATACAAATATAATGCATAGTCAGGACCCCCTGTACCTCAGATATAGTACAGAATAAGGTAATTCACCCCCTGTAAAAAGGCATTTCCTAACTAGCCCCAACATATTCAAACGAACTCAAAAACTCCCATGGCCTCAGCAAGTGTCAGTTGGGGATTTAGGCATGATGACAAATGTTGTTGAAATCAAAGATGGCACCCCACAGTAGTGACACAAATCAATGATCAGGTTACTCAGTTCTAATTTGACCTCCTACCTTCAAATGGGAACTTTTGCTTCCAGTGTGCCTCACCTGAGGGCAATGGGTGTAATGGGAGGGATAGTAAAGGCCAACAGATACACCACTAAGCATTCACCAAAATAAAATAATAATTCAGAACATGTAAGTAAGAGATTGCGGTAAAAGTCTGAATTGTCAATAATTGTTGTTAAGTTCCTCAAATATAGTACAATAGTGTAGGTAAGAAGTGCTGGGGGTGTCGAGGTTGTTGTCCAATTCCAAAAGTTATGGCTGGGGGTATTTGAGTTGAGAGATAGTTTGGAGTTGCTCCAGGCAAACAACTAATTATACAACATTGTACTGATACGAATGGAATGTGCACCTGCCTCACAATTACTGATAGCACTAAAACAGGCTTTGTCAGGGGGTTCTCTGGTAAGTGGTCTTGCATCACGATGACTTTCATGTCATAAAAAAAAGTTATTTACAAATAAGTGCACCATTCCTCATTTGCAACTGTTTTCATGGGATCTGCCTTAAATAATTTATGTTAAAGTTAACAATATTTATTCTAATATATATATTATCACAACTGTACAAGCATACTGTATGTCAAAAGTATTTACCATAAATTTTACATTAACTTAGTTACCTTCAAATAATGAAGAGTCCATCAGCTCATCAAGAGTGCCAAGTTGCTCTGGATTGGTGACCATATCAAGAAGAGGCTCTCCTAGTATTTCTCGTGCCTCCTCACTTTCCAAAACGCTCTCAAGCCGCCGAAAAGCATCAGCATCTAAAGGCAGTTCTGCATAGTTTCCTGTATTTCCAATTTGCCCTGATGAAAACAGTGGAATCAGAACTTCTTAAAGTACAATAATAAATATTACACCACTAATTTATGCAAAGTTCAGAAATAATTTTTAAATTTTATTTAATGATACCCTGTACAGTACAAGTATTTATAAATAAAACAACCAAGTCAAAAAGAACTGGATCAAGGAACACAGAAAACCTAATAAGAAGTGCTGCACCATTATACTGTACATGAAACATCCAGTGACAAATTTGACCTTTTCCCTTCAGCTGTGATAGCAATCTGTGATGTACACACCTCACTTCATCTACACATGTTAAATTACATAAAAATACTTGAATCAATAGATTAGTTATACTCCATCTTCCAGTGATCTTTACCCCTGGCTTACAACTGTATTTGGTATTCCCCAATAATCCTGAATGAGAGATTTATATTACATTGTACTGCAACATGAAATTTTTTGGAAAATAATTATAATGTGATAAACAGCAGCAGACATTGGATTTTTTCTTAAATTTAATAAGTGTGGAAGCTTGCCACAATCATGACATGACTGAATAAAAAAAATACCTGGAAAACAGCAGTTACAACACTGTAAATTTACAAATGTGCTGCTGTTACAGTTCTTTAGCCGACATCATTATGTCTTCCAGTTCATTTCAGACTGTTATTGTCCAGAGGTCATGAAGATAATTATAGGACGAGGACTCTCCATGGAATGACTCGTCTAAAAGTTCTCTGTTGTTTGTTCAGTGAGGGGATGCAAAGTTGAGTAACACAGAAGTCAAATAGCCTCTTTTGGCAGTGATCAGAAGAAATTGTATGCAGTTATGAAGGGGCTGTTGGGCAATAGGTCTGGAACTACTATGCCTTCTTCCACTCCAGATGCTCAGTTTGCCTCAGATATCACATATAAGAAATGACTTTGATGGTGTTTTGTTGATTGAAGCTTTCTCAGTTGAATTTCAAATTATACCATAGACTTAACTCCTCATTGTTTTGTCCTGTAGGGGTGAACAACATTCTGCATTATGTAGAGGACTCGAAAAAGACTTTTTGTCATCTTGATCCAGTAAATAAATCTAAGATACTACTCTTATGAATATGCTACAGACTTTATTTGTAGAATCATAAATAAATGTTTTGCCCATGGCGATTTTGTGATTTGAGAAACAGGGTTTAATGCACCCACTTTTTAAGAAATCTGATCTTGATACTGAAATCACGTTAAATTATCGTCCTGTTTCCAATCTCTCATTCTTATCAAAGATCAGTGTGCTATGCTGTATCAGTTACTTACTCTGTTAGATAGAAATAGTGTGATCCTGCTAGTCCAGTCAACCTATAAGAAGCATCATTCAACTGAAACTGCCCGATGTAAAAATCACTTGCACAAGAAAATCCTCCTTTTGGTCTCGGTGGATTTTTCTGCAGCTTTTAACAAGGTGGACCATCATCTGTTACTTCAAGATCTATGGTCGTTTGGTGTCCGTGAGAATGCAATCTCACTGCTCGAGTCTATTTGTCAGAGCAATCTCAATGTGTGATGGTTGGTGGAACCATTTCCCACCTGGTCCCTTTGCAGTTTGGAGTCGAACAGGTATCAGTTTTGGGACCACTTCTGTTTACAGTTTATACAAGTAGTCTTGCATCTCTGCTGGATGCTCATCACGTTGCCTACCACCTCTATGCCGATGATACACAGCTTTATGTACAAATGTTAATTGTTGGGGATATTGAGGTAATGAAACCCTTGATGTCTGCTATTAAGATTTGGATGGCTAGGAGAAAACTTAAGCTGAATGATGGCAAAACTGAGATTAGCGTCATCCAAGGAAACAGGAGGGGAGACGGCACAGAGGATTTACCTCTTTAAAGTTGGGGAAATACAACTTGGTCCTGTCGATTCTGTTTATAATCTTGAAGTGTACAATGGCTCAAAACTGAATTTTAAGGAGCATATAGATTCATTGGTAAAAGTTGCAACTTTCATATTCAAAATCTGTATGTTTTTGGATAGTGTCTTGTGACACTATTACATTCATTTACGCTGTCTCGGGTTGACTATTGTAACTATGGGACTGTAAAATACAGTCTTGTCTAAGTTTGTGTGTTTCATACTGTGACCTTGTGCTTGGCAGTTTTTTACAAGCAATATATATTTTCTTTACCTGCTGTTTGTAAACATTCATCTGCTCTAATTTGTTATGATTTTCCTTCAGTTCTCACCCATCAGGATAATTCAAACTTTCATTATGACAGACAAATCATCTAGTGCAGGGATTAGCCTGCAGTCCATGGACCCCCAGGGGATCCAAAGGGCTTCAGAGGGTCCATGAACTAGGGGCAAAAAATGTATCTTGTCCCTGAGTTGCTTCCTGTTACTTTGAAAACTGTCTTTGTACAATTATTCAATTGTCTACTGCCATAAAATTTGTCAACTTCATCACCACCTTTTCAAGAAATTTGGCCAGGAAATGGGAGCAGAATATGAAGTGCTTCTCTACTACAAAATAGTTCACTGGCTTTCCAGAGAACAAGTCTTCAAGTGCTTCATTGAACTTCAGGCAAAAGTTTTCATTTTATTTTATTTTTAATTTTTTTTGGCAGGGGGGATGTCCACTCTCAGAACAATTTGACGGTTCATTCATGGGTTGGCTTACTTGGCTGATATTTTTAGCCATATGAATGAAGTAATTCTTTTGAGTCAAGGTCCTGCAGTCAGCATCATGGATGATGCTGGAAACTACAAGCTTTTTTGACCAAGAGGAGATTGGAGGCAGACAATGATGTGAACTTTCCAGTGGTGGAGGAAGTGCTTCTGCAGGCTGGAGTTGAAAGTGATAAAGCCTTGTCAGTTTATCTGCAGGTAGAAAGAAATCTGAAGACACCTGGAAACACTGCAGAACTCTTTTGACAGTTATTTCAGCTCAGTCCACCTTAAAATCAAAATGTGGATTTGTAATCCTTTCCTTGCTGACCTGGACAGCATCAATGATATAGAACTTGCCAATGATGACCTCAATGACTTGAGGACAAAGGAAATGATGCAACATGAATTTAAATCAGTGTCCTGGAGAATTCTGGTGTTCTTGACACAAGCCTACCTTCATCTAGCGAAGCAAGCTATAGGAACCCTGATTACGTTCAGTACTTCTTACCTTTGTGAGTCAGGATTTACAGCACTTGTTGCCATCAAATGAAAAATTGAAATTGATTAGATGTCAAAGATGATATGAGTGTTGCCTTGTCCAAGACCACTCCACAATTCCAACTTTTTATTCAAGCCAAACAAAAGCAGAATTCTCACTGAAATTCACTTTTGAGCAGAATTAGTTTATTTTTCTTTTATTTGCACAATTTGGATTTTCATTTTTTCAGGAAGTGGTCATCAATTTTTGCATGAAAAAACATAGGCAAGAGAGAAGTTTATGGTTTAGTAAATCTTTTAAATATTGTTAAGACATAACTCTTTTTTAGTTTTTTATATATTATGTCTGTGCAAAGGAAAGCAATTTCCAATGGAATAAAACCTCATAATAATTTCTTAATATTCCCCCAATTGCCAATGCCATTTTGGTAAGGCAGCATATGCCAAGGACTACTTTCAATGATAGTGAAGGTTATTTTTCTGCTATCATTAACCCTCTCATGCACGAGATAAGTTTTAAGTTTTCCAGTTCCAAGATCACATCCCTGAGGCTTCCAGGGCAGGCGAGACAGCGCACGGTGAATATTTATTTTTGCTTTATCAATTTCCCCCAAAAAAATTATTTTTAATGGAATAAACCATGTCTTTGGCTCCATAACTGATTGCTTTGCAAAAAAAAAAAAAAAAATTGTACACGTACATAGCTAGTTTTCGTCACTTCTAATAAACATAGGAGAAAAATGCACACCAACACATTCATAACCTCCACGCTCAAAATTGTCTTGGCAAACTTTTTAAGTAATATACACTGCCAGAAGCAGAATTTTATGAGCTTTCCAGCACAATAATCAAATTTCTGATATGACTAACAGTTTTTGAGAAAAAAAAAATTCTCAAATGGCAAATTTTTTTTTTTTTTCGATTATTTTTGTGGCAATGTTTCATATAGATATAAATTATATTGCATCTTGAAGCTAACACTATAATGAAGATAATGGTACTGATAAAATTCATGCAAGTCTTGAAAGTCATTGTCTTTCAGACTTTTTTGAGACATTGTCACTATAAAGAGGTTGTATAGCCTGATACAGTAAGCTTTTGAAAACTAAACACTTTCTCTGTAAATAAGAAAAAAAAAAATTACATTACACAACCATCACTTCACCTGGTAGTAGGCAGCTACCAAACAGGGAGGTACTACCGCCTGGGAAGATATTGGAAGCATAATGTATTGTCTAATGGTAGACCCTGCTGCCATATGGCATCACAAAAATTGTGACCAAGTCCCAGGTTGCTTCTCTTACTATTGACAACACAACATACATATAATGTTTCTCACTTTTTATTTATTTTTTTTTATTTTTTTATTTCTTTATGGTTCTTTATTATTATTATTATTATCATTATAATTATTATTATTATTATTATTATTACAGAGATATTATTATTATCATTAATATTTTATTTTAAATTTTTTATTTTAAATTTTATTTACTGTGAATTATTAATACTGTGCATAACATTTTTGCCCCCTAGGCCCCGATGTTGGTCAGTAGCCTATGCCCGGGTGGGCTAAACCCTGTAAAAAAAAAAAAAAAAAAAAAAAACTAAAGAAAACTAAAAAAAAAATAAAAAAATAAAAACTTCTGGATTACATTGCTTACCCTACTTCCCCGAGTTGAGGCAGCCCACAGGGAGTTATGGAAATTTAAATGGACATGGCTCACACTCACGGTCTGACTGCCGAGATAATACTGCGCATTTATCGTTCTGGTCTTCCCTTCTTATGGGGCTTGAGAGTTGCCAAACAGTTTATTTTATAGAAATTACTTGCAACTATGTTGCATCAAAGTTTTATGCAATTCTG